GGGGCTCAGGGCCCCCCGCCTCCTTTTCAGCGCGTGGCGCGTCTGACGGGCCCGTTAAGCCCCGGGGGCGCGCGCTCCGCGGGAGCTGCCCAGCGCGTGTCCCTGTCACGTGGGGTTGTGCCCATGGGGGGAGGGGTCTCACTGTACGTGCCCGGCTCAGCGTGGCCGCCTGGACTCCTGCAGGCAGACTCCTCAGCACCTGGCCTTGGCTCCCTCCCCTGGCTGCTACACGTGTGCACTGGCCCTGATCTGTGACTCCTCCGCTACGTCTACACTGGCATGATTTTCCGGAAATGCTTTTAGTTTTCCGTTAAAAGCATTTTCGGAACGTTTTCGTGTCTAGATTGGCACGGACGCTTTTCCACAAAAGCACTTTGCGGAAAAGCGGCTGATTTTCTGGAAAAACTGGCCAGTCTAGACACAGCCCTCCTGTAAACCCATCCCTCCAGCTCCCGCCCCGGTTATTCTGGGGGCTTTTCTCTTCCATGCCCTCCAGCTTTGCCCATAGCTGTATAGGAATTGGTTCTTCCACGTATACTTTTATTTCTGGTCTGCTTAAAGCTTAGTACTAGAGATGCAGCCATGTTAGTCTGGTCTGGCTGAAACAAAAGACAGGACTATGCAGCACTTTAAAGACTAACAAGATGGTTTAATAGATGATGAGCTTTTGTGGGCCAGACCCACTTCCTCAGATCAAATTGTGGAAGAAAATTGGCACGACCATATATACCAAAGGGATACGATCAAAAACGGGTTTGATTCAGGTTGGCACAACCATATATACCAAAAGGATACGATCAAAAATGGGTTTGATTCAGACCATAGGTTCCTTTGCATTATTTGATAATTGGTATTCACAGGTTTTTCTATGTGAAGAATGAAGGTATTAAATAAGACTGAACCAACACTAACATGTTAAAATCCTCCCTACAACTCGGTACATTGCTATTATCCTCTGTTTATAGTCTTTCTGCTAGTTTTCGGGCAACGTGACAGAATTCCTATTCAAGCCAATTTGAAGTAATTTCAAGTGTTTCCTAAGACAGTATCACATGTTTTAGTAAAAGTCAAATATAGTACATCTACTTCATCCACCAGCTATGGGCTGCACTGTGACTTGAACTATGCATTAGCACAGAGGTATGAGAGGAAGACTCTCTTCCACCCTGCAACAAGCTACCTGGAACAGAAGTGTACAAAAGTACACTTGACTCTGCCTTTCTGTGTGCTGGCTAGCACATCTGAGCCAGTGAAGGATACAAGGATGTTGTAATATGCTGTTGGCATAAGCTATGAGCAGATTGGTACCCTTGAATGAGAGAGGTGCCAAGAAAGTAGTATCTCAGAGCCACCTTTCCTCCTAAGGCTGCTACTGGAGTCATTCAGTTTATTCACAGCTCTTCACCTAGGATTTTGTCTGCCCTGTGCATCTGGAGGTTCCATCACCCTTATTCATGCTATGAGAGGGGGCCACTGAAATCATATCTACTATTTTCAGATGCTGGTACTTCACGCCATGACTAAGGGTCGCAGAATCTGACCCTAAATAAGGCAATGATTTAAGCACTACATCAATTAAGCATTTAGGCAATGAAGCACTACAGCAACAGCACAGTTGCAGACACTGCCTACACCAATGGGAGGGGTTCTTTTATTAGCACAGGTAATCTACTTTTTGAGAGAGGGTAGCTGACAGAAGAATTCTGTTAACCAAGCACTGTCTACACCAGGGTTCTGGCTATCTTAATTATGCTACAGAGCCAGTGTTCCCTCTAATTTTTCTCACAGGTGCAGAATTAATTTTGTTATGTGCACCAATAGGGAGATGATGTATGGGGTTGGGGCCAAGGGGTTTGGCATGCAGGGTGGGGACAACTTCAGCTGGGGGTGTGGGTTTTAGGGTGGGGCTGGGGATGAGACGTTTGGGGGGCAGGCTACCTGGGGAACCCCCTCCCTCCCAGCTCTCTCTCCCTGCAGCAGCACTTGGTCTGGGGAGAAGGGCAACCCCAGTTATCTCTGGTGCTCAGTTGGGGACAAAGGAGAGGCGCTCCTCCCTCAACTATGGCAGATCCTGGCTGGCGAGCTTCCCTTATTACCTGCACGATGCTTACACAGCTTACAAGGAATTCTGGTTAGGAGGATTGATTTTTCATCTCTCTGAGGTACATAGTTGTGTAAATATAGCTTTTTAGTGTAGACCAGACCATACATAACCACAGTGCTATAGCTGTGTCCCAGTAACCTTATAGCATAAATGCAAACTACAGCGATGGAAGGGATTTTTCCATCACTGTAGGAACTCCAGCTTCCTGAATGAGGGTGGCTACATCAACAGAGTTCTTTTTCACAAACCTGAGCATTGTAGCTATGTTGGCCTAAATTGTAAGCATGGACCAGACCTAATACTGTTGTGGGCTGGGCAGAACATCACCGAAACTGATGAATGCTCAGGAAGTAGAACAATGTGGGCGGAGAGAGAGGCTCTGGAGTCCAGACACCTGTAGATTGAACAAGCACAGTGTGTAGCCCTGAGAAAAGCCTAGGAAGAGCTTTCAAGATGGGTGCTGCCAAAAGGAATCTTGAAGC